CTTTTTTACGTTTGGCTAAATCTATAGATATTTTTTTGCAAAATTTACACTATTGAATGCATATAATATGAAAATATATACCATAATGAATCTAACGAAGCAAATTTGGTGTTATAGATGTAGATATAGTTCTATGTAAAGTCGGTCAAACTTAATGAAGTCTGACCTAGGGCAAACTTGGAACTTCAACTATTCTCAAAAGGAGAGAGTACGAAATAAAAATGCAAAAAAAAAGTGTTCACGTACCCCTCTAGTATGGTTGAGCGCACAATACACCCATAATAAAATGTAAAACAGACAAATTGTTCCGTCACTCTCAAAACCACTAGAATCCTCCTAAGACAATTCCAAAGTGGGTTGACCAACTCAAAGCAGATCTATGTGTCTACCCTATCACCTCCATCTCATCTAAAAATCTGAGGAACATCAATAAATACGATTAGATTTTGGAGAGAGAAAGAGAATCCCAAATCTTGAAATGGAAATGTTCCAAATAGAAGCGAAAATTAATTTGAGACAATTCGGTGACACGGAGTTGGGAAAGTATATAAAAACATACATTTTCTAAAAATAAAAAAATTGAAGAAATTAAAATAGTTAGTCTGAATTTGATTTTGTTAAATGATTTTCTTTTGTAATTTCAGATCGGGATTTTTTAGTCTTTTCCTTGGTAAGATCGAGATTTAAAAATAATACTTTATGTTCTATAGCATTTGAAAAATGATGCAGTTATTCCACACACAAAAACTGATGCCGTTGGATGCCACATAGAAGCCAATCCATCATAAACCACCTTTGTAGGACTCGTCTAAAACCATTTTAGGTGATGAATACTACTGATTTGAAATGGGTGTGGCTAGGTTTCGGTCTACTTAGATTTAGCAAAGTCTCGGTCAAGTGACATAACATGCAAGAGATACAAAAACTATTTTTTTTGCATGGATCTTAATGTAGGATCTCAGGGCTGAGACTTAGCAAGACTGGTTTGAAACGGTCTGAAGGGATTTACATTCCTTGATGATCCAGCAAGAAAATGATACTCCCTCTTGTTAATGAAAAGGTGGCGTTTTGGACATTAACACTGTCCTCAAAATGTAATTGTGACTAGTTTTAACTGCAATGTATGCACAACACCAACAAATAATAAGAACATACTCTCTTGATAAATCTATGCATATGATTTCAAGTTTCAATCTAAGTATTCACAACAATACTGGTGGTCAGAGTATTAAATATTTGACATGAGACACTGTCCAAAACATGACTTTTTGTGAACTGGATGCATATGGTGCATGTATAGACATTGATCGTATACTATGTGCAAACAGGACATTCATAGTTTCTCTTCTGGAACATGCATTAATGTGTAGTACACGAGCATGACAATTAAATTATATAACCGTGCAATATTGTCTCGAACAGACGAGCTAAGACATAATGAGCCCATACTTTCATACTTACATGTCAAATCAGTTACTCCCTTCAATCCATATTACTTGTCGCTCAAACGAATATATTTAGCACTGAAATACGTCTAGTATTTGAGCGATAAGTAATACAGATCGGAGGGAGTAATAAACATGCAATCTAGCGGTATCTGCAGGTTGAAAACGTGGGAAACCTGAGAAGTTGAATGTATATGGGTTTTAAAATGTTAAACTCCAGCAAGGAGAGAAAAGAGAAGCCTTGTACTGACCGCTGAGATCGATCCCATGGAGAGATATCGATACACACACACCACACAAACAAAAGAAACACTAGTATATAAATCAATGGGGAGAAACCTAGACGAGAAGAGGTGAAAAACAGTAACACTCTGGAGAAGATATTATGACCCAAAACTAGTAGCTAAGCTAGCTAGTTGAACGGTATTACTGTCATCAACTATGGGATACTGTGGTGCATGTACGTTGTGTTTAACTGTTGTTTCCTTCCGTTTCGTTTCGTTTCGTTCCGTTTTGCACATCAGCTGATAGATAGATCATCACGTACGTACGTACGTGGATGTTAATTAGCCTAGATGGACCTGTTCTCTAGGATCGCCGAGAGGCTGGTGGTGCGCTGCCGCTTGAGCCCGCCGCTGGCGGAGCCCCCGGAGTCCTCGGCGCCGGACGAGGACGACGTGCGCTCCATGACCGCTCTGAGCGCCTCCTGGATGGACGCGACGGCGTGCTGCGGCGACATGGGCGCCTGCATCCCGCCGTCCTCGTCCTGCTGGTCCCCGTCGCACGCGATGCTGTCGTCCTCGGTGACGACGAGCACGTTCTTGACGCGGCCGCCGAGGGTGGTGATCTCGGCCTTGAGCGCGCGCAGGCGGAGCGCCTTGAGCGCGCGGATGAGGTCCGGCAGGAGGTCGGGGCGGTCGTCGCAGCAGAGCGAGGCGCGCACGAGCAGGCGGCCGTCCTCGTCGCTGGAGGCGTCGACGGTGAGCTCGTCGGCCTCGGTGGGGAGCGGGCAGGCCTCCTCCCTGATCTCCGACGTCTGCCGCTTGAGCTCCTTGACGTGCTGGATCACCTCCGCCAGCAGCGACGCCTTGTCCGTCTGCGCACCAAACATTCATGCATGCATGGAGTAAATCACAAGGAAAGTGGACGCACGCACGCACGCGCGCGCGGCGGCGGGCGAGCTGCCAGTAGTAGTTGATTAGTAGTTAAAAAATCAGCTCGCTAACATGCATGATGGGAGGAGGATGATGCATGCAAGGGGTAGGCTGGGGGGAATGATGGATGGGGCGTACGCATGCAGGCGAAAAGGAGGTCCGGCTTCGTGCCGTGCCGTGGAATGCATGCCTCCGAGCCGACGAGCGTGGGACTCACTCGACGTCTCCCCCTCCACTCTCCTCCTACCAGGAGCGAGGGGAGCACAAGCAAAACAGCGCGCGCGTAATCAATACACAAAAAATGGCTAGTGCATGGCTCGCCTGCCCTGCCCTGCCCTGCCTGCTGGTGGTGGTGCTCGCATGCACGCCTCCACAAGCGATCTGTGTTTCTTCCTTTTGGGGTTTAGTGGGGCACCAAACCATCGATCACCACCACTCTGCGCCCGCATTCTTTATGCTTCTTCCGTTATCACGCCCGTGGTCAAATCCCTCTTAGCTAGACGGTGCAGTGCTCCTGGGGCTCATACGTGCAGCACTAGCCGGTGGATGATGTGTATTATCCATGGATTACGGGCTAGCAGTAGTATATGTCATTGTAAGCTGTCTAATCTAGCATCCAGAAACCAAAAAGCTTTTGAACCTAATAACACTACTAGAACAGTCAACAGATCAGTAACAATGCACTGCATTGCTGCCTTTTGACCGTAAAGACTTTGGGGTGCAAATCTAAAACCGACTCGCTCCATGCTACTACTACTCCGGTAGAGATGAAAGAGTACTATAGCACGACTAGCTATTAGCTTAAGGTTAACTAGCATGGATAACTCAGTTGCATGGGATAACTCGCATGGTTTGGAAGAGCTAGGTAGCTAAAGGCATGTAGAAGGATCTGGGGCTTAGGATTCTTGGGAGTAGGGCGCGCGGTAACCAGCAGGATCTCGAGACAGTCAGCTTTTCTCATCTTTGCTGCCGGCGCTCTGTGAGTGTGTGTACCTGACACGAGCTCGCGCGCTTGTCTCTCCTCGGAGAGGCCATCGCCCAGCAGTAACTCTCGAGTCGCAAGCTTTTTGTTTCCTTCCTGGTCTCTCTTTTCCGCGTCAACTAGGCGGCTCACCTCCCTCCCCTTGTCTCCTAGTAGCTCACTCCTACCATAGAATATGCTGAAATGGAATGGGGAGCCAACAATGGAGTGTTGGAGTTCGCGCGCATGCACACACATGTTTTGGGTTGGCTATATGCAGTGCACTGTGCAGAAAGAATTGCAGACATGCATGCTAGAGTTGAAGATACGCATTGCATGCATGAATTTATATGTCAGGGTGCACTATTATGCAGCCAGAGCCAGTACCTTGGTTGTGTTGGGGAGGAGGCTGCGGAGGCGGGCGAGGTGCGAGTTGATGCGCTCCCGGCGGCGACGCTCGGCCTCGCTGTGGCTCTTGGACGCGGCCAGCGCCTTGGCGTCCATGATCTCCTGTGCGGTCATCCGGCCGAAGTCGCCGAACGGCGACGCCCCGAAGGGCGGCGGCATCATCATCCCGTGGACGGGGGAGCCGTGGTGCCCCATGTAGAGCCCGGCGCCGAAGCCGAGCGGCTCGGACGAGGACGACGCACCGCCCGAGTGGTCGTAGGCGAACTGGAGCGCGCGCCGGGCGTAGAAGTCGGCCAAGAAGGGCGGCGGCGGCGGAGGCTGCTGAGGCAGCGGCGGGAGCAACGGGAAGAAGGGGCCCTGGCCGCCGATGCCTATGTTGTGGTGGTGGTGGATCGCGCCGTGGAGTGGCTCCTGCGGCGACAGCGACGGGGCCAGCGGCGGCCAGCACATGATCGGGGGCGGGCCCATGGTCGCACTCACGCTGCCCACGCTACTGCTCGCTTCAAACACCATGCCCCCTCCACCTTCTTGGCAGCCACCCAATTCTTGATCCACCAGCCCACTCGTGGCGCCGCCGCAAGCCCTGGCGTGGTGCTCGAGCTCCTCCTCCTCTTCGTCCAATAGCACCCCCACCTCTTCGCGGCGGTGGCGGCGGCGATCTCCGTGAGCACCCATCGGCCGATCGATCGATCCGGAGGAGCTCGCAGCACGATCGAAGCCGTTTGTGCGGGATCGATCTAGTTCTTCTAAGTTCTAGTTGTGGTTCTAGTCTAGCTACGGTGGTGTGGTGTGAGTTTGCGTGGGCGATCGAGTGAGATGGATGCTTCTGCTGGTGTGTCTAGGGCTAGCTTTTGTATAGGGTGTGGCATGTGGCAGCATGATTCGCCTTTCGGCCTTTTTGTCTTTCCCTTATGATCTTGCCCGAGCTCGCAAGAATTATGGCCACCTCCTCCTCCCCCTGATTCCTCTCTCCCTCTCTCTCTCACACACAGAGAGGGAGGAGAGAGAGGAAGAGAAAAGGCTTTCCCCGGCCGGCTGGCCGTGGTCTCTAGACCTGACCTGACCTGACCTGGTAGTGTAACTTGGCTGCTACGCCTTTCGATGGCCTTGTGGGGGCAAAGGCTAGTAGGGTAACATAATAACTAGGCCGGAGTAATGGAGACAGGAGGAGAAAGGGGGCCGTGGGGTGTGGAAACGGGGCTGATCGACACCAGGCAAAAAGAGAGCAGGGAAAGAGGAGAGCAAAAGATTGCATGGAAGGAGAGCGGGACGACATAGGGGAGTAGTAGTAGTATACCTTTGTACGTAGTAGTATGTGCCATGCGCGCGTATGTGTATGGGTCGGTCAAGGCCCATGTTCTGCAGCACCCCCTTCACTTTACCAATCCACGCCTCCTCCCCCCGCCCGCCTCCCCGAGAGACACAATCATTGTGTGTGTGTCTTGGAATACACTCCTCCCTCTCTCTCTGCTGCCGCAGCGATTAGCACTTGTATACACACACTAGAGCTAGTGTAATCAATCTTGTTACTACTGTACGACTAGTCTAGACCGGGGCCGCGTGGGCGCAGGATTGAAGCGAACAGAGAATCCACGCGCCAACAGCGGCAGGCTAATGCACCACTCATCTCGTCTCCGCAGCTAGCAACTATGGTTATCGAGTTCAAATCTTAGCCCATGATTAAAGAGAGGAGGCCATGGCTAGCATAGCCAGGAGGACTGGACTGGACCGGAGGATGGGATGAGGAGACGGAATGAGATCCCCGGGCCGGCCGGCGCCATGATGCGCGCCAGGCCCCTGCGTCGACGACACGATGATGCCGCCCGCTGGGCTGGCTGCTGCTGCTGGGGGTTAGTAATTCTCGGCGCGGAACGAGGCAACCCGACAAGCGGTGCGGCTTCCTACCCCCTGATGCCGCATTCCTCCCCTCCCCTTCCCGTCCGTCCACGCAGGCGCAGGCGCAGGCCGGTGGCGGCAGCACGTCGGCATGCACAGTGCGGCAGTGGGGGGAGCGGCCGGAGGAAGGCATCAGAGATCGATCGCGGCCAGAAGCCACCCATCTGCGCTGCGCCAGCTCGTGGCTGGCCTCGGGCGACGTGCGTCATGCAACGTGATCGATCGGCCGGTCGACTAGGCGCGCGCGGGGGCTCTCCAGTAGAGTAGGATCAGTGGAATGAATCGATCGAGGAACTAGTGCCGGTCCAGGCAAGAACGGCCGACGTGAGCTCATCATGCCATGGCTCCGCCGCATTAATTCATTCCTCGTTTGAGCCCCGGCCTCTCGCTTCTGTCTATGCGCGCTTCCCGCTTTGCTAGCCATAGCCAGTACTGGCGCTGCATTGCCCAGCCTGCGTGTATTTATGTTTCGATCACGTGTCTGTCGTCACGAAGAAGATCCACCCAGCCATGGACGGACCACTGTACGACGTATAGCTAGTTTCGCCTCCTCCCTGTTTTCCTTTGCGCGCGGAAAACGGGAGGTGTCAATAGCCAAGTAGTAGAAGTTTCACTCATGATGCATGCTAGCTAGCTCCGACTTGGCTTAATTATCTATTGCAACTTGATGATTATTAGTAGGCGAAAAAGTTGACAAATGGTCAATATATAATCGGCTCCACCAATGACACAAAATTGCGGGACGGTGATCTTATCCCTAGTCTGTGGTTCTTAATCAGTAGTATATTGGGCCATTTTTCAGCAGAAATGCATTTATATAGAAAAGTAATTTGTTATGATATGTAAATCAACTTAAACTTACGTCTGTGAACTGTGTTACCGAATCTTTGTTGGCTTCTCATTTTAATCCATTCTCGCATTGTTTAAAGCGGGAAATAGAGGTCAAACGCTCAATTATCGTGGAACAACTCAGCGGGTCATCATGATATAAAACCATAATGGCAAACAAAGAATCATTATACAGCACAACAATATAACGGTGGTTTCGCGGTCCAACGGGTGGACATGGGGAAGGGGTGATGATGTCATCTTTATTTAATTCCAGTTCAAAAGTTTTGAAATGCAATTTGATCTCAATTCTGTACTCGTATGTTTTCACAGTTGTATTCCTTGATGGGAGATTCGAAGTAAGCTCTCACTTTAGTTTATGTATTTCACGACGGCAGAGTTTTAAGCAAATGGAATACTATTCTTTTTACCAATATTCATGATTTGTCAAAGGTTTCTTTGTTCACCGTGGAGTTTAACATAAGAAAACAGGATGTGATATTTATTTTTGGGACCGGGTAAACATTCCCTCAAATAGTGACTATGTCTTTTTGTAACGGAAGACAATAGGTGAATTACGTATATGAATTTCATAAAATGAAAACCAAATAAGGTATGTGCAGTTACAACAAGCCACATGCTAACTACTTACATGAATGAGGCTACCCTATCTATAAGGCTTGGATATGAAGTTATTTTCACTATGTAAAAAAGTTTTAGCTCATCTTTAAAATCCTTCCTACATCTATAAAGATTAGGAACTCCATGATTGAAGATCTAGTCATTATGGAAATCCAAATGTTCCAAGACACTACGATGATATGGTCCATAAAAAAGGTAACGTCTAAAGCACTCGTTAGACGTCTCAAATGAGCACGAAGATCATCGGATAGCTGGACAAATGAGCACAAATAATACCGACAGTGCTTTGTAAATGGGCAACCAAGGAAGAGATGCTCTATATCCTCAATAACATGTTCATTGCACATGATACAATCATATGATGATAAGTAAAATATCTTTCTTTGCAGCATGGCCCTGGTATTCAGGCTATCCATGAGCGGTAGCAAGGAAAAAAACTTGGTGCTTGCGTTGCACACAAGTCTTCCATAACCAGGCAATAAGAGGAACAAATTACCCTTTGAGAAGTCGGTACACCTTGGATGTGCGATAGTTTGAGCTCTAGGGATAACCCAAAGATCATTATTACAAGACATGTTGATGTCCTACAACTACCGTTGGCAGAAAAGAAATTGCTGGTAAGCCTCCTGGGACAAGAGCAAGGGAAATACACCCCTTAGTTCTTCAAAGTACGAGATTTGGAACACCACTACAAAACCGTCGCTATTTTGCAACGTTTCACTTGTGTCACGTAAAACTATTTTCTGTCACCAAATATGGTCTGGTGACATTTTCCGGCCGTCACCCCCTCCCTCACTGAAGCGTCATCATATAAAATAATTCTTTTACGGTACCACTTCCACTGTCACGCAAGAACTTAGATGACGAACCCAAATTTGTCGACGAAGCTATCTTCTGCGACGACTAAAAAATGATACATGTGTTACTAACAACTGACCCGCCATGTTTGACTTGTCAATGTTTCTGACATAGGGGCCTAGAAGATGTTGACGTGGCAACATGCAGTTGGGCCCGGGCGAGGTTTTATCATTGGCGGTGGTCGTCAGTAACAATCAGATTTGACCGGTCAAAGATCCTGACATGTGGGCCCACTAGATGCTGACATGGCTGCTTACACGTGGGTCCAGAAGCTAGTGATGGCATGGATTTCTGTCACTATTACTATCGCAATTTGCTCAGTGTTGCAGCTGGCAACCAAATTTAAATTTAAATTCAAATTTGAAAATTAGTAAAATTTCAAAAATAAGAATGAAATAACCTTCAATAACGCTGAAAACACACATGATTAACACAACTATAATAATGATCATCCAATTGAGGAAGTATCACACACGACATAAAAGGAAATAGACAGAGTACCACATATTACAAAATATAATAAGGGACCACCAAACTTTCCAGACGAAGAAGACCACCGTTAGGGTTGCAACATGTTATTGTTAGAGCCCCCAAAGTGGGCCGTGACATCCTGTTATCAGAGCCGTTGTATAATCACCTTAAGACAAAACCTAAAGTGACATCCAAATCTGATTGCCTCTTTTCCATAGAAGCAATTTTATCCTCTTGTTCCTTCTTAAGAGCTGTAATTTCTTCTTGTTGCTTTGTTTTGAGCTTTTTGATTTCCTATTACCGCACTACTATTCTTGTATTCGGCTCTTCTTGATACCTATCAGCTCCTGATCTCACAGCTAGCTCTTGAGTTGCAAGCCTCTCTTCAAGCTCTCTCATGCTTTCATGAGAGGTTGTCTTTTGCCTGGAGGCAGAAGACTCCCATGCTTGCAAGGAGCGTGCTATGCTTGGTAATGTCCTTGAGAACCTCTGCAACAATCTGCACATCTGTTTTTGGCTCATCATCTTCTATTGGAGTTGCGTCTTGCTTGTCCTTCATGTCCTTCTGCAGTATGATTGAAGCATTGTTAGTATGGTGTTAGAAACATAATATTTCGGGTGGCACATTACATGTGAAATCTAAAAATTGCAGAATGCTTACGAGTGTTGTTGCTGCAAGCGTACTCATCATCCCATCCTTCTTTCTGGCGTGGATTGCTTTAAAAAATTCAATAGCTATAGCTTTCTGGCTTTCCTCATTACACTAGTATATCAAACATGACATGATGAACATTACTGCCACATGCCATATACTTATGGAAAGAATCTAATTTGCATGTAGGAAGTTGGAGTGCTTACCTTACTATGATAAGTTGCAATGTAGCGTCTAGAGCGAATAGTTTGGTAGAGCTTCATAGCACTTCAATTTGCTTTATTCTTGGCACAGATCTCCTATGAATTGAAGCATAAATTTAGTTTCA